TTTTCATAAAAAAAAATAATGGACACTGATCCAAAAGCTGTCTTAACTCTATCACTTTCCTAAAGTCCCTTAGGTTTTTGAGCCTGAGTCTCCACATCATAAAATTTGGCTAAATAACACAGTTCAATGTCTATTATATTTTAAACTATTTTACATTTTTATCATTATATTTATAGCATATTATTATCTTCTATCCTACACATCTACGTTTATGGAAAAACATTTTATTCTGTGACTCTTTAAGACATTAAATACTGCAACTAGTTCCTAAACATTCTAAGTATAAGGAAGCATGCTTTAAAATCCCACTCCTATATCCAGTAAAGACCCCAAAGACTATACAGTGAAAGAATTTCAGAAGTTACATGAGATATTACAGTTTCTTCAAAAGGTCTCAGGAAACTGAAACACATGAGGGCATGATTGATGGAATAATTAAAAAGACTGAAGTAGGTGATTTTAGCCTTGAATCAAGGAAACACTGACTGACTCAGAAAGTGAAAGATATAAAGTAAAATAAAATATCAAGGGGAAAATCTGTAAGAGACATTCCTCATTCTGAGTTCATATTAGTGAACCAGGCAGAGAAGAACTAAGACAAATGGGCAAAAGGGGAAACACAAAGATGTCACAGCTATCTGAGAAGGAGGCTTTATGGAATAAATTAAGAATGGCATACCATATGCCTCGGGAAGTGGACAGCCATCAGCTGGTCAACTACAATCATATCATATCTATATGTTTAATATTAAAACTATCAGCATGGAAAAACACATTGACAGTGACAAGTCACACTGCTACTCATTTGAAATTTCAGATTACGCTTTGGCATGGATCCAGTGGTATACCACGGCTTCACTAAAATATGCAGTTTTCAAACTGCTGCATGTTAACAAGAGGCATAAATTGTACATCCTGGTTCTTATCCCGCGGACCATATGGAATTAAGCGGTGGATCAGAGCTTGCCCCACTTCTTGTTCAAAACCCAAAGGAATACATAATTAAGGGTTATAGACATAAAGACTAATGATTAAGTGGTTGGGATATAACCTAACTCGAAGAAGGTTATGCATATAAAGATCTAATCAAAGAAAATGTGCTAATGCTTATGTTTTCCTCTTTCTTCTTACATAGAAGTGAAAGTTTGCGATCCCATGGACTGTAGCCCACCAGGCTCCTCTCTCCCTCGAATTCTCCAGGCAAGAATACTGGAGTGGGGTGCCATGCCCTTCTCCAGGGGATCTTCCAGACCCTGAGATCCATCTGGGATCTCCTGCATTGCAGGCAGATTCTTTACCGTCTGAGCCATCAGGTTACATATTACCAATTAAAGACCAAAAATGCACTGTGATGATATGAAAACATTTTTCTCATTGCCTAACCATCGGCTTTATCAGTACTAAGTCAGATGGTTTGTTAGCCCTCTCCACATAGCTGTCAATGATCCTTGCCTACTGATATTGATGCCCTTGTGCAGCCTTACTGCACATTTACCAGGGCTCATCTGTATGACTAACAACATCTGGCAGAAGAGACAGGAAGATGATATATCACTGATGAAATCAAGTTATAAAAAAGACCACGATTTCTGTTTTGGCAAGCTCTCTTGCATGCATGTTTTTTCTTCCCTCCCTCTTTTCCTGGAAAGCAGTCTGCCATAATGTGAGCAGCCCAATAGCAAGGAGCTGACACCTCCAACCAAGAGCCAGTGAGAAATAACAACCAGTAAAACCAATAATCAGAGCAATAATCTTGTAAACAATTTCTGTAGACCCAAGGGAGCCGTAACAAGCCTGAAAAATCAAGCTGTGTTATAACTTCATGAGAAACCTTGAACCAGAACCACCCTATTATTAAATAACTGACTCTCATACTTCTTACCAAGAGACCCTGTGCAAGAGAAACACTGTTCGCTGGGATTTTTTTAATTGGAGATAATTGCTTAACAATATTGTGTTGGCTTCTGCCATACAACTGATGTGAGTCAGCCCTAAGTATACATACGTCCCCTCCCTCCTCAGCTCCGCGCCGCCCCCCAGCCGACCCTATCTCTCCCCTTCAGGCCATCACGGAGCACAAGGCACCAGCTCCCTGTGCCATGCAGCGACTGCCCATTAGTTGCCTGTTTTACACAAGGTAATAAATACGTTTCAATGCTACTCTCTCAATTCGTCCTACCCTCTCCTTCCCCTCGCCATGTCCAAAAGTCTGTTCTCTATGTCTGCATCTCTACTGCTGCCCAGCAAATAGGTTCATCAGTACCATTTTTCTAGATTCCATATATGTGTTATTAATAATATACAACACTTGCTTTTCGCTTTTTGACTCGGTCCACTCTGTAACAGGCTCTAGGTGCATCCACCTCACTAGAACTGACTCAAACGCATTCCTTTTTATGGCTGATTGTTTGCTGTTTTAAGCTGCTACATTTTAGGACAATTTATTACGTAGTAATAACTAGTGAATACAAATGGCAAGAAGTGGGATATACTGTTGAGAAGCTGACAAACCAACCACTTGATATTTTAGTGTTTTCAGAAGTTTATCATGCAAACCAATTTTAAAGTCCTATGAATCAGTGATGGCTACAAATCTGCTTCATGCTTTAAACAAAAATTTAGTATTTTTAATTTCTTCTTTAATTTACTTTCCACAATAGAGGCTCAGTTTTACCTTCATTGAAGATCCAGACCAGGTGCAAAAAAAAAAAAAACGTGTATGAAAGTGGAAATAACCTCCTTTCACTTGTAACAGACCAAGTGCTTCAGTTGGAGATAATGGCTTACATGAATTGTGTGTAACACTGCAATAACTTGTTGTCATTACCATCATTATTAAACACAGCCAAACATTCGCCATGTGCTCCACATGAGCTTCTACAAGACGTCACTGGCACCCTGTAGGAACACAGCCAAAGAATTCAAAGCAATGAATTCTCATCTATACATAAAGGGAAAAAAAACTGATTGTACTCCATCAACTTAGAAGTATGCAAAGTAGGAATTATAAGGTTCAGTTAGTATTTCTTTTTGAACTAAACTTCAACAAACATAAATGGAGATTAAAATCAAAAGTGATGCAGGAAATGCAAGAGAAATTCATCTAAAGATATTAACTCAAAATTTCCCTTTACCCCTGAGCCATTCAGAAACAAAAAACCCTGGCTTCCCATTCTTTCCAGCTATGTCCTTATGTTCTGCAAGAACTGTCAGACTGACACTTGCAGTTTTGGCAAGCCCGAAGCATGAGGGTGGGTGGCTGGGGCAGGTTGGGGGTGGGGAGCTGAGGGGAAAGGAGAAAGGGAGGGAGGGAGGGAGGGAGGGAGGGAGAGAACAGACACATCTGGCCAGATCTTCAACTGGTTTCTGAGTCTGCCTGTCCCTGCCTCTCCTGCTGTTTCTTCTGCTCCTGAAAATATGATTAATGTCTATGAATTGGCAAAACTCTGGTTTATAAGCAAGGCTGAGGGCTTTCCGTCCCAACGAGGTTGAGGTACGGAGTTAATGAGAAGTGAGGCTGTGGGGAATGAACAGAAACATGCCAATGTTAAAGTAATTGAGCATGAATATCAAACACTGACTTGGGAACAGTCTTCATTTGCTGATGGGAGGTCTGATCAGCTGCAGGGTGGATGGCTGGGTGCACAGACCTGCATTCATTGCTGGCCTCAGAATTTCCATCACAACAGCCTACACTTTAGAACCTCAGTACTTTGTTCCCTCAGCTAGATTCCTATTTCCCTTTTCTTCTCTTCCTTTTGTTCTTTTTCCCTCCCCTGCTTCACGCTCTTCCTCTTCCTTTACTTCCATCCTACAAAAGCTTTCCTCTTGTTTATGAAGTTATCTCATCTATCCTCAAGCTCACAAAGAATTTAAAGCTCCTCTCAATAATTGCTTTTTCTTTAGAATATGCATAATTTACTAATGCCAGTTCAGAATAACACAGATGATGGTGTTGTGGCTAGAAGAATTGCTGATGCTATAATTTTCATTTTAAAAACCTTGCATTGTCCTCTAAAGCCAGTGAAAGCTTGAATTATTAATTAGTATAAGACACTACTCTGTCTTCTATCCTTCTCAAATAGTTTACTTGTATGTTCTTAAGTGGCAAAGATCTTTGGAAGATTTGCACAATAGTGACAAAATGAACACCTTAATAAGCTCTACATTATTACTAATTTCAAGTTTTAATGAAGTGTTATTCAAAAGAGTAATAATAGTTTTAAGAAAACTAAATATTAAAAAAAAAAAACCTTTGGTTCTAAAATTCTGTGGTTGTTGCCGTGTAGCTGCTAAGATATGCCTGACTCTTGTGTGACCCCATGAACGAGTCGGCCAGGCTCCTCTGTCCATGGAATTTCCCAGCCACGGATACTGCAGAGGGTCACCATTTCCTCCTCCAAGGGATTTTCCTGACCCAAGGATTGAACCCAGGCCTCTTATGTCTCCTGCTTTGGCATGTGGATTCTTTACCACTGAGCCACCAGGGAAGCCCTCTAAAATTCTAGGAATGTACAATAAGGCATTTTTACAAAAATTAATTTACAAAGATTTTTTTTCACTAACAATACAAATGGACAAAATTTAAATGTACATCAATTGGAAACTGCTTAAGTAAAATACAGTACTATTCATTAAATGAAATTTAAAATGATGTGTGAAAAATACATAACTAATGAAGATGTAGAAAACACAGTATACTTTTAATGAATCAAAAGCTATAAATTCTTTTAATATATACATGCTCAGAAGACCAAGCATTAATGCTTATCTAATGGCCATAGACTTTCTAAGACTGTGTTTCTACTTGTCACTTTCTAAATTTCCATTTGAACCTGTAGGACAACTGCTAGACAGAATACTTTTTAAGTAACAAAATAACCAAGAAAAATGAGTTTCTCAATCCCTACATACACCAACAAAAACAGAAGGAAAAAAAAAAAAAAGGAAAAGCAATCACATAAGAAAAGACCTTAAATATAAAAGTGCTAATGGTTTACCTTAATAGCGTAGTATTCTCTGACTTCAGGCCTAATAGAATCAAAGTCTCCACTGATGAATTCAGGCAGAAAGCTGAAAGAAAGAGTTCCAAGTAAGTCAACCATTTAAGATCATTACTAGCTAACCTTCAAAACTATGATGATAAGAACCAGAGAGAGAGCTAAGGTACTCAAAAGGAAAACGAAACAAAGAGTCTATTTTCAGAGTGAATGGGATGTTATATCTTAGGCACTTAATTTTCACTTAGAAAGACTGAGGGGAATTCCAGGTACCCAAATAATGTGTCAACTTAGTCTCACTATCAGTCAATATTTACCTTGCTTAAAAAGACAGATGAAGATTAAAGAAGATTGCTGCTTTAACAAAAGCTTCCAGTTCAAAACCCTAACACAAGGACTCTAAGTCTTTGCACAGTACTTTCTACAAATAGACAAAACTTTGAAAAATACCTTCACATCAGTTCAAAACTTTCAATAGATTTTAACAGAATAAATAATAATGAGGATGAGGCATTTTTGTAGTGCATAAGTCAGTTTAAAAACATTTTCCAAATAGCCTACTGACATATTTCTAGAAATAGAGGAGTCTTCTCGTTTTGTCTGCAATACCACAAAGATCAGGGTTACTAAATAGGAGAGGATTCTCCAAATGGATGTTTCTAATTCTATCACGATTACCGTTTTTCTCTTCCCTACCATTTTCAGAACTCCTCTAGGAAAATCTCCCTTACTGTATAAGCCATCCTTTCCTATTACAAGACATCTGATGACCTGGTAGAATTTCTTCCCACTAAAAATACCTAACTGTGAAGAAATAAAGCATCCCTGGACTTCTCAGTGCTCCTGCCAAATGCTTTAGCTTCTGAGCTTCCAAAGTATATATGAGATAAGGAAAAGAATGCTTACTTTCATGTCTTCCAGAAATATTCTGCTCTTCATATACCAACCATAAAAACTAGATCCGGCTTTTTACCCCATTAATTGCTTTGATTCAAAATCCTAGTCTAACTTCTGTATGTCTTTTCAAGATGGCCAAATTATTACAGAAATAAATAAGTTCCTAGAGACCGAATATTACTGCTGGCTGTTATATGTCAAAAGAGGTAAAGCCCAGAACCTAGAGACATCCCTGGGTCACAAAAGACAAGACACAGGGAGACATCTTTCTGCTGGAGAGACTTCACTGATATAAAACTGGGCTGGGGTTAAGATTCAGGCCCATAAAATGTCCCCAGAGAGCCTTTCAAGAGAAGCACTGCTGTCACCCCCTACTTAACAGCTGAGGGAAAATCTCATTTTCTCGTCTTTCAGATATGAATATGCGGCTATTCGCACAGGACCACTGATCTGTAGGTGCAAGAGTCAAGGGTCTATAAAAACGAGAGCACAGAACTCTGACTCAGAACACCCCGTGTACACATTCAGGATAATATTCATAAAGAGGAGCATTTAAAAACCCACCTTGTTCTTTTGTAAGATGATTTTAAGTTCTTAACCCAACTGATGTGCTGCAGTCCATGGGGTCACAAAGAGTTACAAACAACTTAGTGACTGAATAACAACTATCCAACTGGAACTGTTAATTCTTAGGTTAACTCCGTCCATGTTGGACCAACTCTTCTTTGAGCTATTCATCTTCTTAGGACTAAATAGGTAAGAGGAAGTCCTTCCATAGAGTTCTGTGCCACATCCACTGCATAGCTTTGTCTTTTCACTAAACATTAATACTTACTTATTACAAGTTTCAATCAATTGATTTCAGAAATGTTCACTGAACATCAAACCATGTGCAGAAGCAACAGTTCACTCAGAATAAGGTAAAATTGGGAAGTAAAATATCTAGGTTTTTAAATTACCTTGCCTGGTTTGAACATTTTCCTACAAACTTTTCTCCTCAAAATGTCCCTACCATAGATAGCTGTGATTTTCAATTTCATTTTATACCTACTTAGATAACTCCCTTCCTGATATCTTACTTAGGACTAAAAAAAAATAGACTGCTAATTTGTATCACTTCTTTTTCCTGTTGCAAAATTTCATTCATTTTCAAAGTTTCTTCCAAATGCCTCCACCTACCACTATTTAACTATGAAAGCGTTAGTTGATCAGTCATGTACAACTCTTTGCAACCCAATGGGCCACAGACCACCAGGCTCCTCTGTCCATGGAATTCTCTAGGCCAGAATACTGGAGTGGGTAGCCATTCCCTTCTCCAGGGGATCTTCCCGGCCCAGGAATCGAACCCACAACTCCTGCATTGCAGGCGGATTCTTTACCTCTGAGCCAACAAGGAAGCCCCTGTTCAACCATACACAAACTAAAACACATATGGTCACAGCCCATTCATACTGCTATGGTCTGAATGTGTGCCCCCTCCAACTAATATGCTGAAACCCTAACACCTAAATGATGTTCTCAGGAGGTGATTAGTTTAAAACGGTGGCACTCCCATGAATAGATGAGTGCCCTTAGAAGAGAAACCCCAGAAAGCTCTCTTCCCCTTCCCATCATCTCAGGACACAGCAGGAAGAAAGCCGGTTACAAAACAGGGAGCAGACCTCCCCACGCAATGGCTCTGCCGGCACTCTGACCTTGAACTTCCCACCCTCCAGAACTGGGAGAAGTGTTTGTTATTTATAAGCCATCCAGTCTATGGTAATCTGTTAGAACAATTTAAAAGTTTTGAGATATTGGTGGAAAAGATAAAGGGAATCAGCCCTCCAATACCACCACTGCCCTTTTAAAGAACCGAAATCTAAGAAGTAAATTTGGCCATTACTTCACCATGTAGAGAAGCCATTTAAACTTAAGGCTCTGGTTCTGCGCAGTCCAAATCATGCAACTTTCTAATAAGGCTGACTCTATGTTCCTCTACAAAGTTTAGCTCCTCAGATATCTAGAATTAATTTGGCAGTTTCCAAATACTATATTTTTTGACAGTAAATAAAAATTAAAAATAAAGGCTAACAAATGTAGTCAGCTGAACATCTATCCCCTTAGGATGCATCATCTTAAAGAGTATTAGATCTTTTTCTTATTCTATGATTAATGAAGGAAAGCAATTATGCAAATTCACTTATATAATCTTGCAAAAAAAAGAAGAAAAGGAGGAGGGTCAGGGGAAAAAGGGTAGGGGCAAAAAGAGAAATGTGAAGAATCAGGGGAAAGGAGGGAAGGAGTGGAGAAGGGGAGGTGGGGAGAAAATGGTAAAAAGGGAAGAGAAAGGCCAGAAAAGGAATGAAAGGGAAAGAGACCAGTGGAAAAGCACCAGGAAAGACAATTTCAACATAAACTTACTAGGATGTCCACTCCCTAATTCTTAGCTTGTCCACAATACTTAACTTTTCTGAGCTCCATTTCACCTTATGTAAAATGAGGATAATTCGGAGTGCTTGTGAGGATTAAGAGCTAATATATGTAAAGCACTTAGAAAATGCCTGGCACACAGTAAGAAGGATTTAAGCCATTCAGTTAAAATAAAATGTATTACTAGAGAAGCGAACTCACTTGCTTGAGGTTAGAAGGCTAACAAGAGCGAGAACCAAATTTCACACCAGGCGGCACCATCTTTGTTCTCTAACAGCCAAGTCTACAGCTCTCCAGACACATGCATTTACGAAATGGAATAAGACTTTCTTATTGAGAAGGTTCTCTACATAACTGCATTATCCTCCTGCTGGTTTTATTAATCAGTGTTAATTTGGCCAACCTGTATATATGACAGAAGTAGCACTGAGACAGAAGAAAAGGAGGATTTGTGCTCCTTGCAATAGAAAGGATAGAATCTTCATTAAAGAAATATATTAGGAGGAGAAATTTTGAAAATAGTGTTAAAAAAGAAGATGGCTCCAGATACAAGAAAAAAAAAAATGGTACGCAGTCTAAAGGCACAGGAATTGATCATTCAAAGATCTGAGCTAATATTCTCTGCAAAACTGCCTAACTTAATAGCTAAGGAAAAAACCCAAGGGTGATCTAAAAAACAGTAAGTGAAATGGTATCGCATTTTGACTGTGTTTATAGATGCCATAAGTTCAACTGTTTTACTAAGTCTCTAAGAAAAGTATGAAAAGTATTTAAATATGGATGATCCCTGACTTACAATGGTTCAAATTAAGACTTTTTGACTTTACAGTGGTGTGAAAGCAATAAGCATTCAGTAGGAATAAGAACTTAAATTTTGAATTTTAATCTCTTCCCAAGCTAGTGATATGAGGTACAATACATACTCTCTCAGAGAAGCTGGGCGGATCCCAGGCAGATCCCACAAGATCGCAACAGTTACCGACACAATCAAATTCATCCTGTTTTTCACTTTCAGTACAGGACTCAATAAATTACGTGAGACATTCAACACTTTGTAATAAAATAGACGTGTTAGATGATTTTGCCCAACTCTAGATTAATATAAGTGTTCTCCTCCTTTCTGAGTTGAAGGATTACCTTGCCTGGCAAAGGAAAAACTTCCTTGCTACACTTCCACTAGAATATGCAATTTTACTCTTCCCCAAATCCTGGCTCTTATTTGAAATCTGCCCTACTTGCATATCCAACCGGAGCTGCATGGTAATGAAGCAGCAGGGGGAGTGCCCAGCTACTCCATACCATAAGCTATCAATCCCTAGTCATGCTCTACTTAGGCTTCGAGGTTTGTGGTTTATTTTAATGAATAGAGAAGCGGTAAAGAGAGGCACAATTATGAAATCATATGAGACTTCTTGAAAGTACATTTCATTCTAGGCAGTAAACATACAAACAAATGAATATTCAACTCTGTAACTGAGCACTCTAACTCAAAATACACAATGTAAATTTGATGGATCAGCCCATGACAGGGGAATTAATCTCTCACTGTAACCACTTAAGAGAATCAGAAAAAATATGTGAAACAATGGTGTTCAGACAGTGGAAAGCAGGCAGCTCAGGACAGTGAGTGCTGAAAAATGGGGAACAAATAAGATGAGCCCTCTCATTCCTCAGCTTTCTTCCTGGAGGCAGTTTCTAGCTTAGAGCACAATGAGGAAAACTCAGAGATCCGCAGCCTCCCTAACTAGAGGAGACCGAGATTAATTT